TTTCACCTCCGAGACTAACTCCGGTGTCTTCCACCCTCCCAGGTATCACTCCTATGCTGCAGTTAATTCGCAGCATCTCATCAGACTCCACTGACTTTAGCACTTCCTCATACTTATGCTGCAGTATAACCGACAAACAAGAAGGCAAGCTCACTTGCCGATTACACCGGTTAAATATCAAAAATAAAAAATTATTGGACTTTGATTAGAATAGATAAGTATTAGCACTTGACAGTGATGCTCACGATTGCTTGCTGCATCCGTAGAACTGCCCTCATTTCCTGTATCAACAGTTTCACTTTAACCCAACACTACACCAAACCTGCCACTTCTCTTCCCCCTCTATCCACTGTGCAGGCCAGCACGTGTACCTGTCAGCAAAGGTGAACGGCGCTCTGGTGGTTAGAGCCTACACTCCAGTCTCCAGTGATGAGCACCAAGGATATGTTGACCTCGTGGTTAAGGTGGTTAACCTTGACATGTTCACATTTGATCTGTAGAGCAATTATTAAGAAATTTGGTAAAGATCTGAGTGTCTGTATTGCATCCTGAGCTACTATCGTCAGTGAGATTATCAGTTGGACAGTCAGTCATTGCTTAATGAGCCCTTAGTAAACACTTTTATCACTTTTATTAAACTATAAGCCATTTGTACAAAGCCCTAGAAACTGATGAAAGGCCGTGAGTTTCAGTTTTTAATAGGCAACCAAGTCTGAAGCAATAATTCCTTAAAAAAACTGAGCCTGTTGGAGCAGGGGTGTAAGTTCCAGGGGGGTTAGGGGGGGTTATGACCCCTCCGAATAAAATTGTGAATTATCTCGCATAAATAGGCTGTTGATTTTCTGTCCTCATTTCAGTTATTACCAGCAAAATAGTTGCATGTTTAATCATCTGGGAATTTACCCAGATTTATTTATTTAGACAGAGATCATGACCCTCCCCATGTCTAGCACAAAGTTACGCTGATGTTCTGGAGTAATGTTATATGTATATAAAATTACTGAGTGCTAAGCTAACAGCTAACACTAGAATATCATTAATACGTAAAACTGAAGCACAATGTTGTGAGATGCTTTGTACCGCACAGAAGGTTTCATCATTTGTCACATAACTGTGATCGTGATGCTTTCTCCAAAAGCATAAATAACATTTTGAATATTGGTTTTACATACACTCTTTTTCTGTTTTCTGGATTATAGGGAAGCTTTTCCAGTAAGAGAAAAAGGCCAAATCAATAGTAATATTAGACCAGCGGTCTCCAACCTTTTTTGTGCCACAGACCGGTTTATGCCCGACAATATTTTCACGGACCGGCCTTTAAGGTGTCGTGGATAAATACAACAAAATAAAACTAGTACCGGTACCGAA